TAGAGACGGCAGCAATCATAGGGATAAGAGAAACAATTTCTACAATAACAAGTCCTACAGCTCTCTTGGTTCTTAATGATAACTTATATAACTCTTTTAAAATTTGCAAGCATTATTATCATACCAAATATCATTTAACCTTACCAATGTCATAACAAGAGGAGGATTCTTTAGAATAACAACTGATTCATCCTTGGTAACAGAGCTAATATAGTTAGAAATTTTACGGGAACTTACATTAGATTTTGGATAATCACCAGTGATTACATTATTACCAATTAATAAGACACATGGTTCAGGACTTTGGCATTTGTGACATTATCTCCCTTACATTTATCTTTTGGTATACAGAAAATATATATAGATCCCATACTAGCAACTAATTTTCATAATTCAGTTTGAAAATTCTTCATATCAATAGTCCAAATTTCTTCCACTGATCCTTAGCTTTGATTTTATTTGATGGAGCCCAATCGTACAAATTCAAATCTGCAGTACCATTTTTCTCCAGCTGAGAGGGTGAAGTAAAGGTAGATCTGGAACATATGTCCTTTAAGATTCAGCTTGAATCCTCATTGTCAGCGTCGGCAATATCGCCATCTTTATTTCTGTCAGGCAAGACATCTTCTGCAGTGCGTGCCAAACTTTCCAGGAAGGCACTTTGAACTTTCAGAGTTCCGTGGAAAAACACAAACAGCCTCGACCCCATATTAACACAGGGTCGGGTCTTTTTCATTGCTTTGTTAATGCATCCTTCTATTTAAGTTCAGTATACCTTTACTGTATGTTTCACCATTGTCTGTCTGCGGCAGACCTTTTATAATCATCAGAAATTAAAAATTTAAAATAAATTGTAAGTGAGAAATAGAATTATTTGAATTTAGGGGATATAGTATTCCAATAATTCCCCCTTTTTTATTTAAATAGTTTTTGATAGTAGAAAGAGTACATTCTATAATACCTTGTTTTTGAGGATTGTAAGGAAACTCAGTTTTATGACAAATAGTAAAATATTTACAAAAATTTTGAAAACTCTTGCTGGTATAGCTAGGAGCATTATTAGTCTAGACTATTTTAGGAATTTCTAATATAGGAAAAGCTAAGAAATAACGTTTTAAAAGATATTTAGTTGCTTTTTTAGATAAACAAGATATTACCTCAAAACCAGAAGTGATATTAATAATAACATGAATAATTTGCAAATTTTTCAAATTTGGGAATGTGAGCCA